GACATCAACTGATGTTACAAAACACAAAGCTTAAAATCATAAAATTTCACAAATATTATGTGTAAAGTTTGTGCGATGGTAGCTGTTAGTCATTAACAACACACAGTGTGACCCAAGTGGCTACAACTTTGTCCTTTCTCAGCATAAAATCATTTATATTTTTGTGGCTCGTGGGGTTTTATTTGTGCTTAAATCAGGAAGGAAAACAGGAAGGAAAGGAGAGAAACACAAACTTGCAGTGCAGTTGTTAGTATCTGTGCAGCAACTATACCTAATAGTTCTCGGGCAGCACCCACAAAGTCTGTCTTTGTGTGCATTTTCACTACTGGAGTGGTGGGCAGTAAAGGAGACACAAAAAGATAAATCACAAAAACAAGTGTGCGCCATTAAAATGATGCCAGTAACACTTTACAGATCATTAGAAATCTGGTTTTCAGCTGGAGATTTGTGCTCTTAAAATTGTCGTCTAATATTTTTTCTAAACGAAATCGCTCATTAAAGGTTGCACCAACTAGTAAAAATGTCATTTGTGATAAAGTGTTACTGCATTGTCTATCATTACACATGTTTTCTTTACCAAAAAACAGTGTGGTAACAAACCCAAGCACAGCTCTTAAAATGTTCCAAACTCTCCTGAGGCGAACAGCTTGTTGGTGAATATTCAGGGTGACCAGGTGTTCCTCTTTGCGTGGGACTGCACAACATTTTTAGCTCTTGTTGCACATTTAGAGAAGATGTCCCACATTTTGTCAGACTTGCTCTAGTTTCAACAGATGAGAAAAAGCCCATTTAATGGGAGTAAAATGAATCAGTTACAGGTTAATGCTATTTTTAGGAAGCCAAAAACAAACTTATAGTAAAGCCATGACGGCTAAAAACGTCATCAAGTAAGAATCAAAATGTGAACAATATTTTTCCTCAAGTTGATGATAATTGTGTGAATGAACTACATGTGTTTATCTAGAAACAACTGAAAAAAGACTGAAGGCTTCTGGGAAAATGTCTTTTTGGTCAGACGAGACAAAACTGAAGCGTCTCTGTTTACAGAAATAAAAAATGAAAGATGGCGGAGGCTTGGTTTGCKTCTGGGGCTGCTCTGCTGCGTCGCGGTGTCTAAAATCTGAGCAGGGTACAGCGGAATCTCAAGACTATCAAGGCATTCTGGAGCAGCTGCAGGTCATGGGTCCTCCAACAGGAAAATGAGCCAAAAAGAATGGCTTTGAACAAAACACTGATCTAAGTCCTGTTGAACATCAGTAGAAGTATTAATGCAAACTTGCAGCCAGAGTAGTTTACATAAGAAGTGGGATCCCTGYGGGCAGGTGCTGAATTCTTATAGGGAGTTACAGAAATTTGTCCATCGCCTCAACAGGTGCAACAAAATTTTAGCTTAGCGGTACCACTGTCCTTTCTTTTCTTTAGTCTGTTTTTAAATAATTCTTTTGAACTAAAAATCAAAAGCTGTAATTGATTTTTTTAGCCTAATTTCAGTAATTTGTTCTTATCACTTTGGTCAGTTTCAAGTTATTTCAGTGACCTTTATAGGTTTTTCTTTATCGAAAGGGTTACAACAAATAAAACAAATTCATAAAGATAACCTTTACTGTGCTTGATGTCGGACTGTAGGATAAATCTTGTGCCAGCAGCAATTGATTTTGAATCGCTCAGATTGAATCTGAATGTGCATAATTTCAAATTGAATGCATTGGTTTGAAAATAAATTTTACTCTGTTGAAACTGAATTTAAAGTTTTGAATTTGAATTGATTTGCTTTAAAACTGTATTTTGGTTTATTAAAAATTGAGTTTGACTACTTTCACTTTCAGTTCCATAATTCAATTTAACAACAAAGTTATTTTAATGCAGTTATTCATTTTACCTATATGTAGAAAACGTTACATTTGCATCACATCATGGATCATCGATCCGATGTTGCTGCTGACTGATCCATGAAGTGATGAAAATGTAACATTTTATATAGGTAAAATTAATCACTGCAATAAAATAACTTTGTTTTTGTCACTTTTACGGTGGATTGCATCAACTCTGTTACATACAGAAGGAAAACTTCACCGAAGTGAAACATAAATC